GCTATGGCACTTCACCATAATTTGTATTGTGGATGATGTGTTTTGAGGTTGCTAAATATTTGATCAATTGAGAAGCCATTTGCTCCAGTGCGTTTGCAGTATCAGTCAGGAGAATTCTTATGACTTTCACTAATAAGCATCCCTTTGGCAGAAAGGATACTTTAAAACTTCATTATGCTGGTATAATTTGTCTAGATAGCATAGAGCATTACAAAAATTGCTCTTCTATAGCTGATTTGATGTTTTATTATCCTTTGAAAAACTATATTATAGCATTCAGATCCAGTTAACTAATGATACCCTTTTAAGTTTGCTATAACTATGCATGCATTTAAGGGGTTCCTTTTATCTTAAAGATGATTATGGGATTTTGTTTTGTTTGTTTGTTTTTTGAGACAGGGTTTCTCTGTGGCTTTGGAGGCTGTCCTGGAACTAGCTTTTGTAGACCAGACTGATCTCGAACTCACAGAGATCTGCCTGCCTCTGCCTCCCGAGTGCTGGGATTAAAGATGTGTGCTACTACCGCCCTCCCAATTGTGAGATTTACCTACATGAGATTTTTATCTTTTTAATGTTCATATGAACATTATGTATTATGTATTTAATTCTAAAACTTTATTCATAGTGCTTATCATGACATATATACATATTGAGGTTAGGAGGGAAGTCAAACTCAAAACAAGGAGGAACAAGCAAAGTGCTAATTACAAAAGCATGTATGTTAGACATAAGCAGGCTCTGACTGCAGCAGCGGGGACAGAGGTGGTAATTCATTGGGTTATACTGCAGTCACCTGCAATGTGGGTGTCTAATTCTCTAAGAATAGAGAACTTCTCCCTGGTACAGAGCTGTCGTACAAATCCCTTGCCTGAGCTCTTTTTCTGGAAAATACCATTCAAGATGATAGACAGTGCAGAAGCAATTTGGTCTTCCTTATAATACTTTTTTAATAAAAGTGAGACCATAGGATTGAGTGACAGTGATCCTGCCAAGCTGATCCAGGCACGTGTAGCTTTGGGACACTCTCCCTTACTTAACACAAGGATAATTTAGTGAGTCTCAGAAGAGTATTTTTTCTTAGTTGTTTTCAAAAATCACTTTCTCCATTTAATGGGAAGTAAGTAAACATAATTGGATAGCTTGCCCATGTCTTTGAGTATTAAATTCCCATGTTAACTAGTATGGAAAAGATTCTCCCAGCTGAGAACACAGGTCTGAACTCTCCACTCTCATGTCAGCCCTAACCTACCTGTCCCCTTTTCAAAGCACATTTTGTGCAAGCTACCTCTTAATGTGGAAGTTTCTGCTGCCTTAAAATAGAGTTCTTTGTTAGATAGCCTGCCTACCTGAAGCACTGTCCCCACTGGTTCAGAACCTCAGATGATGTCTACCAGCCTCCTAAAGAAAGACTACTTGGCTGACCTTTTCTTTGGAAAAAAAGTTGCTGATCAGTTGTGTGTGTGTGTGTGTGTGTGTGTGTGTGTGTGTGTGTGTGTGTGTGTATACATACATACATACATACATACATACATACATAAATACATATATAAAATTTCCTGAATGTATTTGTTTTATTATAATAAAAATGGAGATAGTGTATTATTTTCATAATTTGGTTCTTGTACCTGAGAAACTGTTGTAATTTCTCTTCTAAAGGGGTGAGGGAGTCCAGGGTGTTTGAATAACAGTGAATGAACTACTGATACAACTTCTGATCTTCCATATGCTGGTGACTGTGCTAACTCCTGTGTGTGCCACTTTATCTAAGTTTCACAGAGTACAGAGTGTAGCCTCTCCTAAACCTATTAATGAAGGAGAAAACTGAAGTTCAGGCAGCCTAGGCTCCCATGAGTGACTGGTAACACAGAAAGGATGGTCCCCAGATCTCTGCCAGTTTTGACCACTGCACGCTGGCACCTGGTGGGGGTGCGGAAATCCAAGTCTGCATTCATCAGTACTTGTGCTAACTATTTCCTTCCTTTTTGAAATATGTTTGATCAAAAGTAGCCACTAAGTCTTGGTCCGTAAGACCTGCCTTAGTTTCTAACTTTATAACAAGCCATTTTCCTTTTTTAAAAAGCACATTTTTCACAAAGAACAAAAACTAAAACAGCTCATATTTTTATAGCAAGAAAAAAGTGTGTCTTGATTCCTATACTTAGATTTTTGTCTACTAATGATTTTTGAAAATGTTCTTAGGTAAGAAGGCCAGAATCATCTTCTAGTCATTACTGAAACCTGAAGGGGTTAATTTGGTTCTTGTAAGAGCCGCTCATCTTTTAATGGCTGAATAGCTCCCCACACTTGTCCATGTTGATGACATTAAAAACTACTCATGATGAAGGAACTCAGTTCAGTGTTTATAGATGTGACTATACTGGGTGTTAGCCATTAGCCACATGCGACTATTTTTAAATTTTAACTAAAATTTAAGAATTTGGTTCCTCAAGCACACCAGTCGTGTTTCACATGATTGGCACTTGTGGTGACCACGTCTATGCATTCATGTCACTGCAGCAGGTTCTCTTGGATAGTGAACCTTAGTGTGTACACCTTTATGCATGTCTCCTCTCTCATTTCCTCGTATGCAATGATCTTTTCTGAGAATGATGTCTGCATCTTCTACAACTGGGATAAGCACCTTCCCAATGACTTCCCATGATATTTGACCTGGAGGACCCTGTTGGCTCAGTTGATGATTTGGTGGTACAGGGAAGCATGCTAACCTAGACAGGATTCACCACGCTAAAGTGATGAGTCCATGTAGCCATCTAGTTTTGACTCACCAGATGATGTATTAACCAGCAGTCATGGGTGGCTATTCTTAGATGCATGTATAGGCTCTGTATTGTTGAACTGTTGCAAAGACTAACCCTACCACTGATGAGCTTGTTAGAAATTCTGCTGCTAATTGACCCTGGCCATAATTGTGGCAGCTTCTAGAGCGGAGTCAACTGGCTTTTAAAATGGATTTATTGAGATATGATTTACATGCAAACCCCTGTACACTTTTAATACATAGAGCTTGATATGCTAGTTGCTGATCTTATGGACACGTTCCACAGTAAGCCCATCTGGACTGCTGATTACCTCTCAATGGGGGATGTCCTTCTGTGTCTTGTGAATATATGTTTCTCTTATTGGTTGATGAATAATGCTGTTTTAACCAATGGACAAGTAGTATTTAGCCAGGTGGGAAATCCAAGCAGGGATAGACAAAGGTAGAGTCCAGGAGATGCCATGTAGCTACCAGGAAGGTAGGACACCTGGGCATTCTCCGGTTAGCCAAGACCACATGGAGATACACAGATTAATAGAAATGGGTTAATAATTAAGAAAGTTAGCCCAATAAGAAGCCTGAGTCATTGGTCAATCAGTTTATAATTAATATAAGCCTCTGTGTGTTTATTTGGTACTAAACAGCTGCGGATTGGGCAGTATAGAAACTTCCATCTATAACCTCTATTAGTTAGCCTGTATGCTTTTAAGAAAAAAATGGTTAGTTTGTTTGTTTTTATTAGTCTAGGAGCTTAATTGTATTCTTATTGGTTTTGATTGCTATTAAAAGAAAGAAGTATGCATATTCTTCGTCTTCTTCACATTTAATGATTCCCAAGTAATCTTGGTATATGAATATTTGACATATTTGTGGTACCCTCAGGGCCTGTTGGCAACATTTCTGTACTATATTAGCCATGAACACTCCTAACCTACACAGATAAGCTTCTTTGGTTAATCATTTCCATAATGATATTCTACCAACTTTTTTGTAGAGACCTGTTGACCCTCTTTGTCACTGATATTCTATTCCTTGTGTAAAGCAATAATGGAAAGTTTCCTCGTGACAAACACTTTCCTGCTCTCTCTTGTACACGGATTCTTGTTGAGTACTAGAATGAGTTTCTGTTGTGAAGGCTCCTAGCCATTAGATGTCTCACAACTGAGACCACACAGCAAGCACTTCTGTTCTGGGTTCAAGGATTCAGGACCATTTTCCAAATACAAAAGTGAAGGCCAGTTTTTGGAAAGTATTGGTAAATGTAAAGCAAAGTGTTAGGGAGAAGGGATAGTCCATTACATTAGTCTCCACTTTGGTATAATGTTTAAAATTTTAAAGAATAAAGAAATGTCATGAGCCCATTTGGTGAGCGAACACGGCTATTTTTGCTGTTACAATTCCACACTGAAGTCAAATTTTGCTCCAGGATTCATTAAGAGCCTTTTAGAGCCTTGTCTTCAAATAAAATTAATGAGGGAATGCTGTACTACTTTATTTAAATCTAACAGTAAATTACCCTTCTCTTCCCCCCTTGGATCCGTCACAAAGGTCAGGAACACATTGTTATAAAAAGCAATTCAGCTTATGTAATGCCATCTTAGTTAATTGCATGCACCTTGCTCTGTTATTTTGGTGTCCCAAATTGTGTTGTGGGGTGTATACATGGTGACCTGTCACCAATCTTAGGAACTAATTATTTATTTTGATTTCTTTTTGTTACATTAGGCATGTTAATAAACATCAAGAAAGGGTTTAAGGGAAATAGCTCTAATAGCCCTAAGGAATAAAAGCTCCAGTGATTAAACTTTGGGGCATTGATCCTTACAAAATTCCATTTTGATTCCTTTATTCAATAGCAAGAATAATGTTTTTATGATAATCAGCCTTTCTCCCATCCCTCTCTCCTCCCATTTTTCCCCGCCTCCTCTCTCTCTCTCTCTCTCTCTCTCTCTCTCTCTCTCTCATTCTCTCTCTCTCTCTCTCTCTCTCTCATTCTCTCTCTCTCTCTCTCTCTCTCTCTCTCTCTCTCTCTCTCTCTCTCTCTCTCTCTCTCTCTCTCTCTCTCTCTCTCTCTCTCTCTCTCATTCTCTCTCTCTCTCTCTCTCTCTCTCTCTCTCTCTCTCTCTCTCTCTCTCTCTCTCTCTCTCCCTCTCTCTCTCTCTCTTCTCTCTCCTGCTGCTGCTGCTGCTGCAGCTCTGTTGGTTTGGTTTAAGGCTGTGACAGATGTCTGATTGGCGGGCTGTTTATTCGGTGACCAGCTTCTTTCTAAAAAGAGGGCTGGCCTTACCTGCCTGAAGCCTATTGGCTGGGTATACTCTGGGCCCTCCCTCTCCCTCCCCCCACCTTTTCTTTCACAGCACACACCACCACTTAGTCTGTGCGGAATCCTAAACCAGCCCAATTTACATCCATTCATGAATGTGTGACGTCAGCAAGCTTTGAGCTCCTTTGCGGAGGGCCGGAGGATTGTGTGGGTAGAATCTCCCTCCCCCTTATTTTTCCAATTCTGCAAGGCTCTTTAGATTAACCTTCCATCTTTTTAAAGCAAGAAAATGGAACAGCATGTGTAGGAATTCTTCATTGTTGTGAGTATTACACTCTTTTCCTGTTTCGTCAGCATGTATCTCACAAGGACAGATGGGGAATTTATTTTTGCTTTAAGCTTATTAGAAAACTGACAGTATTGAGGAAGACACAAGGTGAGAGAGACGGAAAAAGGCCAAAGGAAACCTGAGCCGCCCCCTCCCCCCCCCCCAACCCCGGCATGGCTCAGGGACTGACAGCTGGTTTTTTTCTTTGCTTGCTTGTCTGCCGGCTGGACGTGGACATTTTTTGATTACGGTTCTGCACATTACCTTCGGATGATTGCTTGGTTTGTCTTTGAGAGGATGTAGATGTGTTGGGGGGGGGGGCTCAGAGAGCACCAGGAAGGAGCTGCAGAAAGTGGGGCCAGCAAGCCCAAGCAGGCTCCCGCTCGCTCGTCCAGCACTTGTCTCCTGTGCCGTCCTTCCCACCACGTCTCACCCTTCAACCTTGCCTTTGTTTCCTAATTGTGTAACCGTCCATATCTTGTGTTTGCAGTATGGGAAGACAAATACTTCTTCAACCATCTTCAAATGCTTTTATGATGAGAACCGTTGGGCTATGTTTGTACATATTTGTTACTCTTTTTATATCATTTTATACCTAAAATCTGTACTGAAGGCTGAACCAGAATTATCCTTAAATTGTAAGGCTAATTATTTTTTAAAGATTTCTAATGAAGTCATGTCTTCCTATGTTTCATTGTATAGAAATGCAACTGAGTATTTTCTAAGATGGACTTCCACTTGAAAAGGTTACTCTTCTAGGTTCTGGAAACTGGAGAAAGTTCTGATGTCTTCCATGTATAAAGTTGGTTTGATAATTTGTTTACAGTTTTAACAAGAAATATCTGTGGTTGTTTCCAGTGCTCAGGTTTATTTTGAGGAGAGGTGTGACACTGTGTCATATTCTGCCCAAGGTAGTTCCTGAGTCCATATCATCTAGTTGCATCTCCCAACTTTGAACGACTGATGTACTACTCTGAAACATGCCTTTGTTTATTCTTTCTGGAAAGAGAGGGGGGCTTTATTTCTTGTCACTCAACCATGTCTGTCTTACTTTTTGAAATCAATGCTTAATTTTGATTTTTCTTCTAGAGCAGAGGTTCTAAATTGTAGCACTCATGTTAGTATTCAGATCATTCTTTCTTTTGGGGGAACGGTTATTCTTAATCTTTCAAGTGAACGTGCATTTCATTTTAAAATTATCATATCCGAAGCTGAAATACTTTATTTTCTTTCTCAGATTAACGTCGAATATCCTCATTTTGTTTTTGCTGTGTATTTTAATGTCCTAGAGTTTGCAGGAAGGAACCCTCTGCCTATTGCCCACACAATTGTACTTTTACATTTTGTTGTTTTTATTTGCTGAGTTGAGCATATCTGATACTATTTTAGATAAAATCCCTATATTTTAAGATATCTCGATATATTGCAGCATTTTTCTTTTTGCATCCTGTCAAGACTGTTGAGAGCATTTCCAAAGATATATTAAATTGTTGAAGTTCAAATCCTTAACCTTTAAAAAATTATGTTTATGTATTCAAAGCCATTTTGAGAAATGTTCATTAGATTCTGCCTTTATATATATTTTATCACATCAGAGCTTTATTTCCGTGAAAGAAATTTAGCCTGAAATTGATTTATTAAAGTAAAAATATCCCTCTTAGGCACAAAGTTGAGTATAGAACCCCCACCATCCCCACTCCTGGTGGCTGTATTCTAGATTATGTTTATTTTCATGTATAGCGTACTTGTGGGATAAAACAATAACTCTTAATTGTTTAATATCAAACAATAAAATACTGTGTATCAGTGATTATCAATAGATGCCTTTCTGTCTAAAAGTTGAAACTACTCCAGGAATAGGAATTAATTTATTTAGTAAACACAGTCAGTCAAAGCAGAGCTGTGTCCTGGGGAACTGGCATCAGAGTGGTTCCTAAGGGCAAGGGGCCACACCCATGGGCACATAACACAGTGACTGACTGACTGGGTGGCAGAACCCGAGAACTTGGTTTGCACTGTCTACTTCCCTTCCTCTGTGTGCTGCAGTTGACTAGTCACATGAGGAACTCACGTGAGCCAGGATAGGCAAGGTGCTCAAACCGGCCAGGTGGTGTAGCCTGACACTGGTGTGTTTTGTTAAAATTAAAGAGCACTGCCTAGGAACACTCTGCTGGTTGAAGAAAAAAAAATGTCATTCCAAGGATATCACACTCTGGCTATGTCAGTTCTGATTCTGGGAAAGGAAATGGAGAAGCCAAAGTTTTAGGAGATGCAGTTTTATTCTTAAGAACTCTAGAAGGAAAATTAGTAGACATTGACTTTGACAAAACAGTTTTCCTCCTTTTGTCCCCTTTTCTTTCCCATCCTCCCTCTTTTCTTTTCACTATTGGGTAGTCTTTAGTATGTTCACCATGATCTCAGTCAATGTAGAATTTCTTTATCAAAGAAAGAAGGAAAGGGAGGAGGGAGGGAGGGAGGGAGGGAGAGAGAGAGAGAGAGAGAGAGAGAGAGAGAGAGAGAGAGAGAGAGAGAGAGAGAAGCTACACACTCACTAGCAGTCACTTCTTATTTCTATCATCCCTCTGCACTAGACAACCACCAATCAATCTCCCCTTTTTATTTTTTATTTATTTGCTTATTCTGGACATTTCTTACAGATAAAGTCATAGAGTGTATGATCATTTGTAATTAGCTTTTATCACTTTTTCAAAGTTCACCCATGATTTATTGCATCAGTACTTCATCTCTTTATATTACTGAATAGTATCTAAATATACATAGTTAAATCATCTTCTCTATCCATGTTTATGGATATGGGCTATTTCTACTTTTACCTACTAGGAATCCTATTGCTTTTGATAGTTATGTACAAGTTTTTGCCTATCGTTTCATTTTTCCTGAGTACTGAACAATTGAGGAGACACTAATCTTCTTTTCTAAGTTGGCTGTGCCTTTGTACATCCCCATCAGCCACACCCGGTTCAAACCTCTCCACACCCGTCACATCTTGAGCATCACCTTAATGGGTGTGAAGCAGCATCCCATTGTGCCTTTGTTGACATCTTCCTAGTGACTGACCATGTTGAACATCTTTTGATGTGTTTACTGGCCATGTGTGTATCTTCTCTAGAGAAATGTCTATTCATACTCTTTGCATATATTAAAAATTAGTCATTCATGTTTTTATTATTGATTTATGAAAGTCCTTCCTATACTCTGGATACAAGCTGTGTCAGGCTAAGTGAATGGTAAATATTTTCTCATAGGCTGTCTTTTTGTCAGTGATAAGTACCAAAAACTAGTTTTTAGGAAATTCAGTTTCTTTCTTTTTTTCTTTTTTTGTGCTTCTGATGTTATGTCAAAGGCAGTGTTCTCTAACAAGGTCATTAAAGTCCATTCCTATATTTTCATCTAGACATTTTATAGTTTTTTTTTAGCTCAAAGCTTAGTTAACTTTTCAGTATGATCTAAAAACAGGATTCATCATCACTTTTGGATGCGGCTATCCAGTTGTTCCAGGATATCTCTTTCCCTCTGATATGTTGTCTTGGCATTCTGTCAGGAAACTTTCAAAACAAAATACTGCTGCATGTGATGGCCTATCAGGGGGTGGAGACAGAAAGATGAGGTGTTCAAGGCCATCCTTAACCACATAGTGAGTTTGAGGTCTGCCTTGGCTACATGAGACCCTGTCTCATAAAACAATAACAAAAAAACCCTGATAGAATACTTCCATTCCTAGAGATTCACATTTACTTGGCCTAGTCATAGTTAATAGTCATCTACACTTTGAAAGGTCCTCTACTGATTGTAACACGTGGACAGGGTTGCAAACTGCTAGTGTGGGTAATTTTAGGGCTAGTCTTAGGAAAGAAGAGAGGCACTATTCCTGAATAAGGACAGAGGGTGAGAGAAAACAGTTCTGACATGGAAAGAAGGAAAAAGAGCAATGAAATCTATTCATTCTAGAAAGCACAGGCTTTCTTTTTTTTTTTTTTTTTTTTTTGGTTTTTCGAGACAGGGTTTCTCTGTATTGTTTTGGAGGCTGTCGGTCCAGCCTGGCCTCGAACTCACAGAGATCCGCCTGCCTCTGCCTCCCGAGTGCTGGGATTAAAGGCGTGCGCCATCACCGCCCGGCAGCACAGGCTTTCTTATCAATTCCTCCAGTGGAGGTGTTGTCCCAGAGTAGTGTTAGCATTTATTTAGCACTTTGTACATGCCTATAAACTTTTTCAGAGCTTTTATGTATATTATTTCATTTGAATATAATCCTTATAATACAAAGAAATACTATTCTCATTTTGCAACTGAGACAAAAGGCTGCTGACTCAACCAAAGATACCGGAGAATATATGTAGTGTCAATTTTCAAATCCAGTTCTCAGTCTTAATCTTTCTTTTGTATGCTGTAGATTTCTCAACCAAAGATACCGGAGAATATATGTAGTGTCAATTTTCAAATCCAGTTCTCAGTCTTAATCTTTCTTTTGTATGCTATAGATTTTGAACCTGGGAGTAGTACTGTAAATTTTTGTTGATCCAATCTAGCATGAGTTACAGATCTTTTCTAATATTTCTTTGGGCTGAACAAAGTAAAATATGTTTAGTTGTAGGGATATAGGGCTGGGGGTTGGCCGAGCAGGTGCAGTGGAAGATGAGAGGGTGGGGTTAAAGAGGATTATCATGTCATAGATAATCATGGAGCCCAGACTGCTGGTACTTTGCCGAGGTGCAGCTAGCAAGAAAAACTCTAAGAAGATCAAGGGCTAATATGCTGGACTTGAGAGGTGATTGAAGGGGTGGGAGAGAAATCATGAAAGAAAGGCAAATGGGCCAAATAGTATTGGCAGGTGTAGAAATGTTGTCATTCATTTTTATTTATTTAGTCAACAAGTATTTACTGAGCATCTAGTCTGTATTTTAGGTACTAATATGAGGCAGAGAACAAAGGAGACAAAAAGACCTTCCCTCTTGGGGCTTATTTGGTTCCAATGG